CTGAGAGACGGAACACTACCAGACTGAGAGACGGTACACTACCAGACTGAGAGACGCAACGCTACCAGACTGAGAGACGGAAACACTACCAGACTGAGAGACGCAACGCTACCAGACTGAGAGACGCAACGCTACCAGACTGAGAGACGGAAAACTACCAGACTGAGAGACGGAAAACTAACAGACTGAGAGACGGAAAACTACCAGACTGAGAGACGGAACACTACCAGACTGAGAGACGGTACACTACCAGACTGAGAGACGCAACGCTACCAGACTGAGAGACGGAATACTACCAGACTGAGAGACGGAACACTACCAGACTGAGAGACGCAACGCTACCAGACTGAGAGACGCAACACTACCAGACTGAGAGACGGAAAACTACCAGACTGAGAGACGGAAAACTACCAGACTGAGAGACGGAAAACTACCAGACTGAGTGACGGAACACTACCAGACTGAGAGACGGAACACTACCAGACTGAGAGACGCAACACTACCAGACTGAGAGACGCAACGCTACCAGACTGAGGGACGCAACACTACCAGACTGAGAGACGCAACACTACCAGACTGAGAGACGCAACGCTACCAGACTGAGGACGCAACGCTACCAGACTGAGGGACGCAACGCTACCAGACTGAGAGACGCAACGCTACCAGACTGAGACGGAACACTACCAGACTGAGAGACGCAACGCTACCACACTGAGAGACGGAACACTACCAGACTGAGAGACGCAACGCTACCAGACTGAGAGACGCAACACTACCAGACTGAGAGACGGAAAACTACCAGACTGAGAGACGGAAAACTAACAGACTGAGAGACGGAAAACTACCAGACTGAGAGACGGAACACTACCAGACTGAGAGACGGAACACTACCAGACTGAGAGACGGAACACTACCAGACTGAGAGACGCAACACTACCACACTGAGAGACGCAACGCTACCAGACTGAGAGACGCAACGCTACCAGACGGAGAGACGCAACGCTACCAGACTGAGAGACGCAACGCTACCAGACTGAGAGACGCAACGCTACCAGACTGAGAGACGGTACACTACCTGACTGAGAGACGGAACACTACCAGACTGAGAGACGCAACGCTACCAGACTGAGAGACGGAACACTACCTGACTGAGAGACGGAACACTAACAGACTGGGAGACGCAACGCTACCAGACTGAGAGACGTAACACTACCAGCCTGAGAGACGGAACACTACCAGACTGAGAGACGGTACACTACCAGACTGAGAGACGGTACACTACCAGACTGAGAGACAGAACACTACCAGACTGAGAGACGCAACGCTACCACACTGAGAGACAGAACACTACCAGACTGAGGGACGCAACACTACCAGACTGAGAGAGGTACACTACCAGACTGAGAGACGGAGCACTACCAGACTGACAGACGCAACGCTACCACACTGAGAGACAGAACACTACCAGACTGAGAGACGCAACACTACCAGACTGAGAGACGGAAAACTACCAGACTGAGAGACGGAAAACCACCAGACTGAGAGACGGAAAACTACCAGAATGAGAGACGGAAAACTACCAGACTGAGAGACGGAAAACTCCCACACTGAGAGACGGAACACTACCAGACTGAGAGACGGTACACTACCAGACTGAGAGACGCAACACTACCAGACTGAGAGACGGAAAACTACCAGACTGAGAGACGGAAAACTACCAGACTGAGAGACGGAAAACTACCAGACTGAGTGACGGAACAGTACCAGACTGAGAGACGGAACACTACCAGACTGAGAGACGCAACACTACCAGACTGAGAGACGCAACGCTACCAGACTGAGGGACGCAACACTACCAGACTGAGAGACGCAACACTACCAGACTGAGAGACGCAACGCTACCAGACTGAGGGACGCAACGCTACCAGACTGAGGGACGCAACGCTACCAGACTGAGAGACGCAACGCTACCAGACTGAGACGGAACACTACCAGACTGAGAGACGCAACGCTACCACACTGAGAGACGGAACACTACCAGACTGAGAGACGCAACGCTACCAGACTGAGAGACGCAACACTACCAGACTGAGAGACGGAAAACCCTACCAGACTGAGAGACGGAAAACTAACAGACTGAGAGACGGAAAAACTACCAGACTGAGAGACGGAACACTACCAGACTGAGAGACGGAACACTACCAGACTGAGAGACGGAACACTACCAGACTGAGAGACGCAACACTACCACACTGAGAGACGCAACGCTACCAGACTGAGAGACGCAACGCTACCAGACTGAGAGACGCAACGCTACCAGACTGAGAGACGCAACGCTACCAGACTGAGAGACGCAACGCTACCAGACTGAGAGACGGTACACTACCTGACTGAGAGACGGAACACTACCAGACTGAGAGACGCAACGCTACCAGACTGAGAGACGGAACACTACCTGACTGAGAGACGGAACACTAACAGACTGTGAGACGCAACGCTACCAGACTGAGAGACGTAACACTACCAGCCTGAGAGACGGAACACTACCAGACTGAGAGACGGTACACTACCAGACTGAGAGACGGTACACTACCAGACTGAGAGACAGAACACTACCAGACTGAGAGACGCAACGCTACCACACTGAGAGACAGAACACTACCAGACTGAGGGACGCAACACTACCAGACTGAGAGAGGTACACTACCAGACTGAGAGACGGAGCACTACCAGACTGACAGACGCAACGCTACCACACTGAGAGACAGAACACTACCAGACTGAGAGACGCAACACTACCAGACTGAGAGACGGAAAACTACCAGACTGAGAGACGGAAAACCACCAGACTGAGAGACGGAAAACTACCAGAATGAGAGACGGAAAAACTACCAGACTGAGAGACGGAAAACTCCCACACTGAGAGACGGAACACTACCAGACTGAGAGACGGTACACTACCAGACTGAGAGACGCAACGCTACCAGACTGAGAGACGGAATACTACCAGACTGAGAGACGGAACACTACCAGACTGAGAGACGCAACACTACCAGACTGAGAGACGCAACGCTACCAGACTGAGAGACGCAACACTACCAGACTGAGAGACGGAAAACTACCAGACTGAGAGACGGAAAACTACCAGACTGAGAAGCGGAAAACTACCAGACTGAGAGACGGAACACTACCAGACTGAGAGACGGAACACTACCAGACTGAGAGACGGAACACTACCAGACTGAGAGACGCAACACAACAAGACTGAGAGACGCAACGCTACCAGACTGAGAGACGCAACACTACCAGTCTGAGAGACGCAACACTACCAGACTGAGGGACGCAACACTACCAGAATGAGAGACGCAACACTACCAGACTGCGAGACGCAACGCTACCAGACTGAGGGACGCAACGCTACCAGACTGAGGGACGCAACGCTACCAGACTGAGAGACGCAACGCTACCAGACTGAGACGGAAACACTACCAGACTGAGAGACGCAACGCTACCAGACTGAGAGACGGAACACTACCAGACTGAGAGACGGAAAACTACCAGACTGAGAGACGGAAAACTACCAGACTGAGAGACGGAACACTACCAGACTGAGAGACGGTACACTACCAGACTGAGAGACGCAACGCTACCAGACTGAGAGACGGAACACTACCAGACTGAGAGACGCAACGCTACCAGACTGAGAGACGCAACGCTACCAGACTGAGAGACGGAAAACTACCAGACTGAGAGACGGAAAACTAACAGACTGAGAGACGGAAAACTACCAGACTGAGAGACGGAACACTACCAGACTGAGAGACGGTACACTACCAGACTGAGAGACGCAACGCTACCAGACTGAGAGACGGAATACTACCAGACTGAGAGACGGAACACTACCAGACTGAGAGACGCAACGCTACCAGACTGAGAGACGCAACACTACCAGACTGAGAGACGGAAAACTACCAGACTGAGAGACGGAAAACTACCAGACTGAGAGACGGAAAACTACCAGACTGAGTGACGGAACACTACCAGACTGAGAGACGGAACACTACCAGACTGAGAGACGCAACACTACCAGACTGAGAGACGCAACACTACCAGACTGAGGGACGCAACACTACCAGACTGAGAGACGCAACACTACCAGACTGAGAGACGCAACGCTACCAGACTGAGGGACGCAACGCTACCAGACTGAGGGACGCAACGCTACCAGACTGAGAGACGCAACGCTACCAGACTGAGACGGAACACTACCAGACTGAGAGACGCAACGCTACCACACTGAGAGACGGAACACTACCAGACTGAGAGACGCAACGCTACCAGACTGAGAGACGCAACACTACCAGACTGAGAGACGGAAAACTACCAGACTGAGAGACGGAAAACTAACAGACTGAGAGACGGAAAACTACCAGACTGAGAGACGGAACACTACCAGACTGAGAGACGGAACACTACCAGACTGAGAGACGCAACACTTCCAGACTGAGAGACGCAACGCTACCAGACTGAGAGACGCAACACTACCAGTCTGAGAGACGCAACGCTACCAGACTGAGGGACGCAACACTACCAGACTGAGAGACGCAACACTACCAGACTGAGAGACGCAACGCTACCAGACTGAGGGACGCAACGCTACCAGAGTGAGAGACGCAACGCTACCAGACTGAGACGGAACTCTACCAGACTAAGAGACGCAACGCTACCAGACTGAGAGACGGAACACTACCAGACTGAGAGACGCAACACTACCAGACTGAGAGACGGAACACTACCACACTGAGGGACGCAACGCTACCAGACTGAGAGACGGAACCCTACCAGACTGAGAGACGCAACACTACCAGACTGAGGGACGCAACGCTACTAGACTGAGAGACGCAACACTTCCAGACTGAGAGACGCAGCACTTCCAGAAGAGGTTTCAGATCAATTCCTGTTTATCTGTGAATCCATTCGAGTATTTTGCTTCTCACTCCTTATACTTTAAGTTTCCTCTGCGCCTCCACGACCACGCGACGCTTGGCTTGGGGGCTCCACGACCACGCGACGCTTGGCTTGGGGGCTCCACGACCACGCGACGCTTGGCTTGGGTGCTCCACGACCACGCGACGCTTGGCTTGGGGGCTCCACGACCACGCGACGCTTGGCTTGGGGGCTCCACGACCACGCAACGCTTGGCTTGGGGGCTCCACGACCACGCGACGCTTGGCTTGGGGGCTCCACGACCTCGCGACGCTTGGCTGGGGTGCTCCACGACCACGCGACGCTTGGCTGGGGTGCTCCACGACCACGGGACGCTTGGCTTGGGGGCTCCACGACCTCGCGACGCTTGGCTGGGGTGCTCCACGACCACGCGACGCTTGGCTGGGTGCTCCACGACCACGGGACGCTTGGCTTGGGGGCTCCACGACCACGCGACGCTTGGCTTGGGGGCTCCACGACCACGCGACGCTTGGCTTGGGGGCTCCACGACCACGCGACGCTTGGCTTGGGGGCTCCACGACCACGCGACGCTTGGCTTGGGGCTCCACGACCACGCGACGCTTGGCTTGGGGGCTCCACGACCACGCAACGCTTGGCTTGGGGCTCCACGACCACGCGACGCTTGGCTTGGGGGCTCCACGACCACGCGACGCTTGGCTTGGGGGCTCCACGACCACGCGACGCTTGGCTTGGGGGGCTGCAAAGTTACAGTTTACTTGACACGTGGGACTTGTTGCATTCTGTTGGCGAAATATCCGCGTCGATGTTTTCATTTTTTTCCTCCTGGATTTTTATTTGATTACAAAGACCTTTCGCCTTGCAATATTATGTTTGCATTTTTATATATGACTGTTTTCCTCTTTTTTTTGTGCTTGTTTTATGAATGTTGTTCCCGCCAAACACACACCGAAACTACGACGTTGGTACAACGTTCGAACAAGTTTTAACACCTCCTAACCAGTTATAACAACCAATATATCAAGTTCTAACAACGTTCTAATACGTCATAAACACGTTAAGCCAAGATGTAACAACTTTATTACAAGTTGTAACAAGCGGAAAATAGAGACAGTTACGGTTTGTGTTTCCAGGATTTGGTTTGTATGGTGTGAGAGTTGAATCAATCAACGTTGATATGTCTCATTAGGTGAGGAACATATCGTGAGAGGAAAGTCATAATTATATTTGGCTTTGCTTTCTTGAGCAGAATTTTTTTCACTTGTGAATGAAGACCAGTACTGCAAAGACCAGTGAAATATATTCAGTGGAGAGTATACTTTATTTGAAGATATGTGAGACTTATTTAATATATGGGAGGGCAAAGTGGGAAGGTGTGTGTGAGGTGAGAGAGAGGCAGGTGTGTGTGTGTGTGAGGTGAGGGAGAGGCAGGTGTGTGTGTGAGGTGAGGGAGAGGCAGGTGTGTGTGTGTGTGAGGTGAGGGAGAGGCAGGTGTGTGAGGTGAGGTGAGGGAGAGGCAGGTGTGTGTGTGAGGTCAGAGAGAGGCAGGTGTGTGTGTGAGGTGAGGGAGAGGCAGGTGTGTGTGTGTGAGGTGAGAGAGAGGCAGGTGTGTGTGTGAGGTGAGGGAGAGGCAGGTGTGTGTGTGGTAAAAGAAGTGTAGACGTGATGTTAAACATGAGCATCAATTACATATATTTCTCTCTAACACAAACATGCCCAGAATGCAGCCCGTATCAGCTCTCTAATTCCCAGGTAAATGATTTACTCCCAAGTGAACAGAGTCATCAGGCAAGAGAATCTCTGCTCATTTGTTTCTACCTCAGCAGGGAATCGAACCCGGGCCCCTTAGAGCTATGACCCCCCCGAGCGTTGTGCAGGTGTGTTGACGTCAAGGAGCAGCAGATGTGTTGAGGTTTAAGAGGGGAAATATATGATGATGTTGCTCATTGCAACATCTATTGATGTTGCAATGATGGAACATCATTGTTCCAATAATGGGGTTTGTGTGTTGATTTGGCCAATTTTTAAATGTGTACCAATAGGGAAAATTGTCGTTGTTGACCTGAACTTGAAGTTTGACGTCTAGTGTTAGTACGTCGACGACATATTTACGTCTGTGGCTGACGCTGAGCACTTGTTATACAGTCCATTCACCTGGGCTCTAGGAGACTCGAACCATGGATCCAAGTGTGTGAGGTTGAAGCTCTATCGACCGAGCTGTGGTTTCTTGGTATACACCTTAAGGAATCATTCAAACTACTCAAACTACCTTCCGTGCTTAGTTTCATTTACGTCATGAATGTTGAAGGTGTCTTTCCCAGACGTAACAGTCTGGTAAAGCTGTTGTTGTGTAAACAATGCACTACCGTGACAGGTAGACGCGAGACGCTGTAGATGAGCTGAAGATGTAGACAGGTCAAGGAGGAACTCAGGAGCGCGTGGCAGGTCCTTGAGGACAAGGCAGGTCGTCAGCCAAGGCAAGGCGCGGCTGGTCCTACTCTAACAGGTAGGCCGAAGAGCAGGAATGGTGCCCAACCACTTGGACGGTTGGGGATTGAACGCCGGCATGCATGAGTACGTTCTCAGTAAGAGAAAAAGGAACCACCATGATATCTCCGACAAAACGACCAACACTACAGTATCTGCCCCCCGGCTCTTAAACTATTATTCAGCAACTTCTCTACGCCGACTAACATTGTGCAGGGGAACGTCTTTAAGACGTCAGTGACGGAGATGTGGACCATGTACTGGCTCTGATCAGCAGGAGCACTTCAACGTTTCTTACAAGAGCAAGAAGACCTCCAACGTGCTCGTGAAGAGCTCTCTCGACACCATGTGAAACCCTTGGAGAGTGACGATTGTCGTCTATGCCTTAACTTCTTGAGTTGGGTACTGTCAACGATCCCATTATGTAAGAAAGAACACATCTATTTCAAAACGCCTCACAATGCAAAAACAACTAGGATACATAAAAACACACACACATTATATAAATATAAACATATATATATATATATATATATATATATATATATAATATATATATATATATATATATATATATATATATATATATATTATATATATAATATATATATATATATATATATATTGGTGTATACTGGCAGCAGGTTTTCTTTCAAACATGTTTCATTGAATATGACCGCATATTCTGTAGGTATTATTTTCTGGTTTAGGGCTTCTATCCCTCTAACTATTTTCTTAGCATCAGGGCTTAATTGAAATAGGAGTTCTCCAAAACTCATTTTCGTACTTTTAAGGTGAAGAAAAGAAGTGATTTACTATAGAGTGTATTACACTTATTTGTATAATTTGCACGACGTTTCGAACCTCCATGGTTCATTCTCAAGTGAACAGATCTTACAATACTAGTTGATTTTATACCCGCATTAGGTCAGGTGATAATAATACAATGAAGGTGAAAACATGGGGGGGATACATAAGGGATAAACATAGGGGCTGCAGAAGGCTTATTGGCCCATACGAGGCATCTCCTATCTAAACACAAAGATTAATCCAGTGTAATTGGCCTGTTATGTTGGACATTGTCTTCTGTGTTGGCATCGATATGTTCTTGTCTTGTCCTTACTCTCATGTTGGGTAGAGTAAATAGTTCCGTGATTTGGGTGTTCATGGTAGGTCGCTCTATTCTTATGTGAATTGCCTCAAGAATTTGTAATCTTCTTGAATCTTGGGTTTGTCTATTATGCAAGTATTTTTGTTCAACATTTCTCTTGTTAGAGTAATGTCATGGGCTTGTCTCATGTGATTCCTAGGGGCACCAGATTGAAGATGGCATGTCAAACGCCTCGTCAGCTTGGTCGACGTCATACTATGTACTTACATTGAAGGTTACATCCTTCGTGGGGGCAAGTGTACATGTATACAACGCTTGACTGCGTGTAGAGGGTTCTCCGTCGGCTTCGGGCTGTTTTTGATAAGGAGTTCGGAAGTCTTCTTGGTTTTGTAGAATATTATCAGGTTATGTTTTGGTTAGGAGTAGTGCTTTTTACTCCTTTACGGATTATTTCTTTCATTATTCTTTCTCTTTTATAAGTTCACTGTGCATGGTTGATTTGTAATATAATTTTATTGGGGGTGTTGTGGTTAACCTATCTTCGATGGTTAACCATCGAAGATAGGGTCTTCAGTAGCAGACAAAAACCAACTGTATACTGCCGTTATGTAGATGACATATTTAA